GGGTGCGCACCGAGGCACCACTTCTCTGTCCATCCTGAGGCCGAGTCCCACATACAGCAACTAGAAGGATGTGCAACTATGACATACAACTATCTACTGGGGCTTTGGGGAGAAAAAGGGGAAAAAAAGGAGGGGGATTGGCAACAGATGTTAGCTCAGGGCCAGTCTTCCTCAGCAAAAAGAGGAGGATTGGCATGGATGTTAGCTCAGGGCTGATCTTCCCCACAAAAAAAAAAACCAAAAAAACAAAAACCCACAGAACAATAGTACATCATGTTAACAGTCTATGTCTCATCAAGGTACAAAAGCATAGAAAACATCCAGGCCCTGGGCTCAGACTACTTGGTCTAGATCCAGGCTCTACCCCTGCTCAGGAGACCTTGGGGACCAGAGCTTGACCCCTCAGTCTCCTCTTTCGTCAAGTGGGGGTGGAAAAGGGAAGAGAAGAGACGGGTGGAGAGCTTTAGCAGTATCTATGATGTTTTATTTCTTTTTGACAAAAGGATGCAAAATTTTCACATCTGTCTTGGTGGTGAGTACATGAATGTTGATATTATTTCCCATATGTTTGAAATGTTTTCTAATTTGAAATGTAGAGATTAAAAGATCACAGAACAGAAACAAGCACTTCTACACGCATTTCCCCGACAGGCACCCTAGCCTCCCTCCAGATCACTCGCCACATGGCAGCCAGAGAGACTCAATAAACCGGGTCCTGTCGCTTCCACTCTACCTCCGCTGGGCTCGTCGCTCTTGTCCTGCGCCATCCGGCCCCTGCAGGCCTCATCTCCCTCCAAGCCTGCTCCCCTATCCCAGGGGGTCTGACCACTGTGAGCCGTACTCGCGCTGTCATTCAGTCACTCACCCCTTCAGGACTCGTGGAGCACCTACTCTGGGCCAGCCATTACCATGGTGACACAGAGAGAGAGCTGCTATTCTCAAAGAGCTGCCATTCTAGGGGGAAGGCAAACAATCAACAAGGTGATAAATCCAGATAATTGTGGGTAAGTACCATAATGAAATAAACAGGGTGAGAGGAGAGAGAGCAAGGGGAGACAGAGAGGCTGTTAGGAGGTGACCTCCAGGCAAAGCCAACAGGTGTTCAGGTCTCAGGTCCAATGCCTCTCCCCAGGAAAGCCCTTCCTGATCTCCCAGGTGGGGTGGTATCCTAACAACCCTATGCTGATATCCTAACAGCAGATCACTGCCTTCTCTAACACTTACCGTGCTTATAATTAAGTAAACGTATGACTGGCTGCCTGATGTCTGTTTTCCCTTTGGAAGCTTCCTGCTCATGCATCCTGTGCCTATCACAGAGGCTGTAGGCACTCTATCAATACTTGTTAAAGACAGGGGGCTGGCCCCGGTGGCCTAGTGGTTAAGTTCAGCGCTCTCTGCTTTGGTGGCCCGGGTTCGGTTCCCTGGGCGTGGACCTACACCACTCGTCGGTGGTCATGCTGTGGTGGCGTCCCACACACAAAACTGAGGAAGACTGGCACAGATGTTAGCTCAGGGCGAATGTTCCTCAGCAAAAAAAAAAAAAAAATTTGTTCAAGACAGAAACCAAGAGTCAGGCTACATGGTTACCAGCTTCCAAATTCTACAAATCTAATCAGAGCAATTCCTGTGGACAAATGTTACCCAAATGACAAATTCTTATACTGTAGACATATTTAGGAAATATGCTTTTTCACTACATATTGTGCCTTTTATTTTTTTTAAATTTTTTTTGTGAGGAAGATCGGCCCTGAGCTAACATCTGCCAATCCTCCTCTTTTTGCTGAGGAAGACTGGCCCTGAGCTAACATCCGTGCCCATCTTCCTCCACTTTACATGGGACACCACCACAGCATGGCTCGCCAACCAGTGCATCAGTGCGTGCCCGGGATCCGAACCAGCGAACCCTCTGGGGCCGCTGCAGCGGAGCGCTCGCACTTAACCACTTGCGCCACGGGTTGGCCCCATATTGTGCCTTTTAATATTGAAAATCCTAATGAGAATGTTAGAAAAACTCTAACAGTGATGGAACACTGGAGTGTCTGAGAGGAAACAATTATTCAGTGATAGAGTCACCAATCAAAAAAAATAGCTAACATTCATAAAGAAATCCACTGGAAAACAAAAACTACGTTTTAAAAAATTCAGTGTAAACAAGGCAAACGGCATCAAGTAGCTTCAACATTCTGGGCGAATGGAGGCCACCAGTGGGGAAAGCAGGCATGTCTGGTAGTCCTGGTCCTGAGATGCCAGCAGATGTTCATGCAATGTCCTGCTGCATCACACGGGAAGAGAGCTGTCCTCTGACGGTGACAGTCAGGATCTGGTGCCTGTCCCATTTGATAATTTGATTGGAAGGCTTTGGATTTAGGTAAAGGATTTTGTTTTTAATTTTATCTCCTTTCCAGTCCTTCCTCTTTTGTATAATTAATTGCCCTCTTGTGATAAGAGTGTGGGAGCTTAGCCTGGTGTGAATTCAGTTTCCTGGGATTTGACACATTTGTTTGGTGGGAAGAGGAGGAATTCACTTTGGCTCCTTCTTGCCCTTTCACAAGAGCCTGTGGTTGCCCCAACACTCGCTGGCTGCTGTGTGGCCCTAGAGGAGCGGCTGGATCTTTTACACCCTAAGCCCTGTCTGGGCCCGAGTCCAACAAGCCACAGAAGGCTCAGTCCAGAGAGAAGAAAAATGTCCTGATGGCGCAGTTCTGCCCCAAACGCCACCTCCTCCTCTGACTCCCCCAGCGTGCCAAGCGTGTAGTGACAGCAGAGTGCTGGGAGCCCACAGGCTCTTGTCAAGGGGGTTTCTGAAGAAGAACCATGAAAGGTGCAAGAATTACACAGTTTTCTGCCATTTATTGAAAATGTTAGGTTTCTAAACACAAATATCCAGTGCGTGTGGTGGGAGGTGTGCGTGTGTGATAGCTGACCACAAGGAAAATATGAATACTATGGCATGGGAACAATCCCAAAGGAAAACTACAGAGACATTTCAAGAAAAGTTTATTATTTCAAGAAAAGTTTGTATTTTTTCCTCCAGAGAAATAAAGGATCTGAGAATAGTGATTTTAAAAATATACAAGATGGCTCCATTAGTTCAAAGGGGAACGGAAGAGAGACAGCCAACTTCAAGCATTTTTTTCCAAATCACATAAAAGGGAAGAAGAAAAACACTGAGGCAATTCTGAACCTGGAGACTTTAATAATTACCATCATTAAAAGAAACTGCTGGGGCCGGCCCGGTGGCTCAGCGGTTAAGTGCATGCGCTCCGCTACTGGCGGCTCGGGTTCCGATCCGGACGCGCACCGACACGCCGTTTCTCCGGCCATGCTGAGGCCTGCCGCGTCCCACATACAGCAACTAGAAGGATGTGCAACTATGACATACAACTATCTACTGGGGCTTTGGGGAAAAAAAAGGAGGATGATTGGCAATAGATGTTAGCTCAGAGCCAGTCTTCTTCAGCAAAGAGAGGAGGATTAGCATGGCTGTTAGCCCAGGGCCAGTCTTCCTCAGCAAAAAAGAGGAGGATTGGCAGATGTTAGCACAGGGCTGATCTTCCTCACAAAAAAAAAAAGAAACTGCTTCAGAATTTGAGTTGTTTGAGCTTCCTGCCCAACTGGCATCCTGAGAAGAATGAGGATGAACATGTTCTCGGCCCACGTCACAGAACTCAAGTGTAGGCTGTGCCACTGCTTGGGTCCTGCTGGCCTGGCTGCAGAACCAAAACGAGCAATCAGCAGATATGACTCCATGGCTACTATGTACAAGGGAAGAAATTAACAATCAGGGGACAGGTGCTGTATCCTCAAGGAGCCCAACACTCTGGGTTGAAGCACAGAATTTACAGGCGAAAAGTGAATATAACAGCACTATTGTCTTCCCAATAAATTTCCATAATGGGCAGGGCTTCTTGGGTGAAAGGAAACTGAAAGGATAACAAAAGAAAAAACGATCACCCGCAATACAGATTCTGGAGCCCATATTTATTTGAATGGCTAATCAATCGCATAGAAGACAAGAGTTTCTACCTGTAATATACACAGATTTCAACTGACGAGGGAAGGAAAATAGCCATGGGGCTTTGCTCAGTCTTCTGGTGAAAGCAACCCAGTTCCTCACAGCTGATCCAAACTGTTCTGGAAACATGGATCCTCACTGTTGATTAAAGGCACTGGAATTGAATATTTACATCAGGCCTTATGCTAAGCAATGGGAATAGACATAAATAGGTCCCAATCTTTGCCTTCAATTCAGACATTAAAGCCAGTTTTTACCCCCAAATTATAACGCAACATAGTAAGTGCAATAAAATATAATTTTATACGAATTACTTTGGCTACATGGTGGGGAACGAATCCTGATCCACCTCTTACAACCTACATGACATTGGACAAATTATTGAATCATTCTCAAGCCTGTTTCTTCATCTGTAAACGAGGATAATATGAGTATGCACCTCGGTCTGATGCATAGTTACAGCATAGTAAATGTCAGTCATTATTATTTTTATTCATTATTATTATGACATTTGGGCTAGGGAGGAAAGATTAGTTCCACAGGTAGGAAACCAGCCCAAAAGAATGCTCAAAGCACTTGTGAATATCAAGTACCTATTTCTCTTGAGTAAAATCGAATCACATCTCACAGAGGGGCAGTTGCCTCCTCCGCAAAGTGGGAGGAATCCCATCTTGCAGCACTGTGCGTCCCTGATACTGAACGGCAGGTGCCCGGACGCAGGAGCCCAGCCAGCGGGAGCTGGGCACGCTGAGCAATCGGAACACCGAACCCCGGCCTTCCGCCGCCGAAGGCCGCCGGGCGCCAGGCCCCGCCCCGCCACCGCAGGCCCTGCCCCAGGTCTCCCAGGGCAACCGCGGCCTCCAGCGACAGGCCCGGCCACGCCGGCGCGCTCTGCGCAGGCGCGGAAAGGGGAGCCCACGGCGTCCGCCCGTGCCCAGCCTGCCACGGACGCAGCGGCGGGGCTTGCGTGATGGCGTCATGGGGCGGGGCCTCGGGCGGCGGGAAGAGGCGGCGGGAGAATGGAGGCGCGGGAGAGCGGCGGTGGAGCCGACGAGCGCGGGGCCCAGGACCCTGCCCCGGCCCCCAGCAGAGCCCTCGGCAGCGCCGGCCACTACGAGCTGCCGTGGTGAGGGCCCAGGCCGTAAATGATGGGTGCTCTGGACCTGTGGGTGGGCGAGTGGCGGGCCGAGTCCCGGGACACTCGAGCTCGTTCCAGAGGCACCTAAGTGGGGCAGGAGGCCCCGGGGTGGCGTCGGGGAGATGGTTATTTGCAGAAGGCGAGGGACTTGGGTCGTTGAGCCAAGCTGGGGTTGAGCCCACCTGTCTGAACTCTGGAAGCGGAGCCCGGTCAGAACAATGCTAATCTTGATGATAGCCGCCCCCTGAGACCACCCACTGTGGTGCTGGGCGCTGTGCCATGGGCCATTCTGATGGTCACTCTGCGAGAAGCGTCGGGCCCGGGTTCGGAACGCGGGGTTGCGCGCATAAGGCGCCCGCCTTCTTACTGTTGCGTGCTCGTTGAAATAGCAGCATCCTGGGTAGTTGGGAGGAAACGGTGACGTGTGAAGTCACCTGCCTCTGGCACAGGTGTGGTGCAGGCGCTCCACTCGTGCGCTCCGCCTGTGCGCACCGCTCAGAGCTCTCCGCGGCGCGTGGTAGTGGTTTACTCGCTGTCCTCTGTGTATTCCCATCCCTCCAGCCCACCCTCTTCTTGAGGAGAGCAGATACCTGAATGGAACGCGGTATAGCTGTGCTATCCAGTCCCCAGTCACTAGCCACATGAGTCTGCTGAGCGCTGGAAATGAGGCTAGTCCAAACTGAGATGGGTGTAAGTGTACAATATACACCGGATTTCGAGGACTTAGTATAAAAAAATCTCGTTGGTAATTCTTATATTGATTACACGTTGGAAATGATAATGTTTTGAATATATTAGGTTCAATACATTATATTAGTAAAATTACCTTCACCCGTTTTCTTTTTCCCTTTTTACATGTGGCTACCAGAAAGTTTAAAGTTCCATATGTGACTTGCGTTGTGTTTTTCCTGCACAACACTACTCTTGATGCTTAGGATGCTTCAGTATTAAAACAGACTCTGCTGTCATAGAGCTTACATTGATAGAGAAAGACAAAGTAAAAAATAAACAGGTAGATGTATAGTATATGTGATGGCGACAGGTGCTGTGGAGTAAATAGCTGTGGTGGTCAGGGGAGGCCTGTGGTGAGATGATATTGAGCAAAGATCTGAACACAGGGAGTAAGCCATATGCTAGGTGGAGAAAGCTTTCAGGCAGGGGGAGCAGCTATGAGGGCCTTGAAGGAGGTACATCTTACCTTGTTCAAAGTCCAGCTCAGAGTTCAGCTTCCTAACATTCCCAGGAGGTGATTCTCTCCCTCTCTGGTCTTCCTCAGCCCTTGGTTTGTTTAATCAGTTCAGTGCTGTAGTAGGATTTGCTAAGCTCTATCTCCTTGCTAATGGCAAAGCCCTTTAGAGCAAGAACCATGTCTTGCTCATCTCTGTACTTTCGACTTTCCTCTCCTTGAGATCTGTAACTCCTTAGGCAGTGCTTGGCATCTGGAAGGGGCTGAGTATGGAGAATAAATGGGTGGGAACAAGCATGCTCCATCTGCTGGTCTTGGAGGAGACCTGTCTCTATTGAGACGGCAAACAAGCTTCTTTGCGGGCACTTGCTTCTGGAGCAGAACCAGTACCTGGAGGGGGTGCAAGCTGATGGTAAATCAGGGCATATAATAAAGGGCAGAGGAGGTCTTGATGGTCAGATCATTGCAAATCTACTTCCTCTTCCATTCTCAGAGCTGAAGAAAGTAATTTTTTCTCATAGCATAGCTTATTAATTTTTTTTTTGTGAGGTGATCAGCCCTGAGCTAACATCTGCCAATCCTCCTCTTTTTTTTTTTTTTTCCTGAGGAAGACTGGCCCTGGGCTAACATCCGTGTCCATCTTCCTCCACTTTATATGGGATGCCGCCACAGCGTGGCTTGCCAAGCAGTGCATCGGTGTGCGCCTGGGAGCCGAACCTGCGAACCCCGGGCTGCTGCAGCGGAGCACGCGCACTTAACCGCTTGCACCACTGGGCTGGCGCCTCGCTTATTAATTTAAAAGAGAGAAGTTTTGGTCTGAATAGGCCACTAGCCTGTCCACTCCACATAGCCTGGTAGGATAGGCCTGTGGTTTCTTTGTAGCCAGCCCTGCTGTGCACCTGGCACACGTCTACAGAATCTGGCAGGTAAGGGGTGAGAAGGGGTCTTGGTCGCACCTATGTCTGTCAGATCAAATGATGTCCGTGCCGCGTGTGCGGGACCTCTGTTGTGACGGGCAGACTGTGTTGCCGCAGTGTCGCATTGCTCCAGGTGGCCTGCTCTGGCCCTTCTCCAGCAACAAAGGTGTTTCTTGCTCTGGCGGGTTTGGAGCCTTTGGTATTTAATTCTCATGCACTTAACTTCTCAAATGGCAGTTGGGCACCTCCTTAAATTTAAAACCTGCATTTGGTATATTTTTATTGATGTATATCATCTTCTGACAAAGCTCTCAGGCTTGCCCTTTAGGGCTTTCTTTTGGGGAATGTGAAAATAGCCATGTCAACATCTTTATGCATCTTCTTAAAAATAGGGTTGAAAAATACAGACCAGTAAAGTTGAATGAAATTGTCGGGAATGAAGACACCGTGAGCAGGCTGGAGGTGAGTGACTTTATAAAAGAGGATCTTAAACACCGCATGTCATTTGGCTTTGATAAGCTCCAGGCGTTTGGAGGAAGACAGCGAAGATGAGGGGGAGGTGAGCCGCGAGTCCAGAGGAATTGAAGGCCTGGGAGACGTTCAGTTTGGAGGCAACTAGAAGCCGTGGTGGAAAAATTCAGAAGTTGGAAGTGCTGGCTTATCGGAGAGGGATTATCAGACTTGTTTTGTATTCTTCAAAACAGTTGGTCTGAATTGGGCTAACATCCGTGCCCATCTTCCTCCGGTCTCCGACAGAGAAGGGGTGGCAAGCTTTTTCTGTGAAGGCCAATTAACAGATGTCTTAGGCTTTGCAAGCCATGTGAGGTCTTTGTCAAATAGCCTTTGTTTATTTTTTAAACAATACTTTAAAAATGTGAAAACCATCCTTAGCTAGGGAGCTCATAAAAACAGGCCTCCAGCTGGATTACCCCCTCCCCCCGCCCCCCCACCTTAGTTTGCCAACCCCTGCCTAGAGGGACTAAGTGACAAGGGAGTAGCTTTCAGGATGATAAGAACAGGAGCAAGCAGGACTGTTGAGCAGTAGAGCAAGCTTTGAATTCCTGGCCCCAGAGGTCTTGAGGCAGAATCTAGAGGGCCAGCTCTTTGAGACATGAATTGCAGTAATTACTCTGCAGTAATTGGGGCCTAGACTTTAATAGCTACCAAGGTATTTATTTGTTTACAAATTTATTAATTTTACAACTATTTGAGTATCTTCTTGGGGCCAGATATGGTGAGGTGTGAGGAGTAGACACACCCCCTTCCCCAGGTGGGATTCTCCATCTGACAGGGGCAGCGTAGAGTCTGCAGGCAGTGTGATGAGCGCTCTGCTAGGGGAGGTGTAGGGTGCTGGGGGGCCCATGGGAGGAGCTTAGGGAGGACGAGTGAACCTGCTCACACCATCTTGATTCCCAAGTGGAAGAAGTGACACCAAAGCTAAGCGAGTGGGAGTTAGCCAGACTTGTGGGTTAGGGGCTAGAGAGAGGGGAGAGAGCAAGAATAGCATGTGCAAAGGCCTGGAGGTGAGAGAGCTTGGCTTGTTCTAGGGAAAAATGCTATCTGATTGGCACACCCAGTAGTGCTTTCCAGACATTAATGGACATATGAATGGCCTGGGACATTGTTGAAATGCAGATTCTGATCCAGTAGTTCTCGTGACGGGCCAGAGGTTCTGCATTTCTGACAGGCTCCCAGGGCATGTGACACTGCTGGTCCTTGGCGCCCACTGAGGAACACGGCTGTAGGGTGCGTGTATTGGGTGTGAGAGAAATGAGCCAGTGAGCTGGGCGGGATCCAGATTGGGCAGGGTCTTGTGAGCCACGTGTGAGAGTTTGGGCTGCTTGATGAGGGCGGTAAGGAGTCATCCAAGGGTTTCAGTCAGGTAAAAATGTTGTAATAGATGTGTATTTTAGAAAATTGGTTGTGGTGACAGCATGGGAAATGGATTGGAGTGGGGCAGGATTAGAGGCAAGACAGTTAATAGCCCATTGAAAGTGGTCCAGGCAAGAGATAATGGGCTAAGGAAGGGGCAGTGGGGCTGAAGAGAGGTAAATGGACTCTGGAGATGAAGGATAAAGAATGGCTAAGCCTTTGTGATGGAGGTGCTGTGTGGGGTGAGGGAGAAGGCCCCATCGTGACCCCCAGTTTCCTGGTGGGCAGTAGGGTTGATTGACAGTCCAGGGAAGGGGAGTGTGGGTGGGCCTCAGGTTTGTAGGGCAGAATGATGAATTCAGTCGTGAATAGGCTGAGGCGAGAGTTCCATGGCGCATCCATATGGAGCAATTCGGAGCCATGTTCGCTTCGTGGGCCCGTGTGGCTGGGGAGGCCTGGCTCTTCGGGTTTACAGGTTAGCCAGTTTCAATGAACATTTCTACCTTCAGGTCTTTGCCAGAGAAGGGAACGTGCCCAATATCATCATTGCTGTAAGTAGTCCTCCTGCTGGGCGTCACGGACTGATTTTCGCTGCGCTCTGAAGTGCCCAGCGCTTGATCCTTAGAGAGACCCGCTACCCCCAGGGCCCTGCGTTCCCCTCGCACTCAAGCTGTCCAGGGGCCTGTGGGTGGGTTGCTGTGTTGATTTGGTTGTGCTGTGGGCTGGGCTTGGGGGGCTCGAGGGAGAGGCAAGCACAGACAATGGGGAGCAGTAAATCGGGAGCTACGGTCGGTTCCTTCTGTCGGCTTGAAGCACTTACTGGAGATCTCGTTCCTAGGGCCCCCCAGGAACCGGCAAAACTACAAGCATCCTGTGTCTGGCGCGAGCCCTGCTGGGCCCGGCACTCAAGGATGCCGTTTTGGAGCTCAATGCCTCAAACGACAGGTACGCCTGGGTGTTAGGACGGGAGGCGGTGAGCGTTTACATTTTGGATTGTTACGGAAACAGCCTTTTCTCAGTTCTGTGGGGTCCGAGGAGCTCGCCTGGCCAGCTTTGTGTTTCCTTTAATCCTCCCAGTGAGAGGATGGGAATTGCTTGCTTGTAGACATGGCATCATGAGCAGTTGACTTGCTGGTTTACCTTTTTTTAATGGAAATTTTAAAAATTATTTTTAATTGTGGTAAAATACACATCACGTAAAATTTACCCTCTTAACCATTTTTAAATGCACAGTTCAGTAGTGTAAAATACATTCACATTGTTGTGCAACCAGTCTCCAAAACTCTTCATCTTGCAAAACTGAAACTCTGTCCCTGTTAAACAACTCTCCATGCCCCCTGCGCCCCCAACCCCTGGCAACCACCCCCTACTTTCCGTTTCCATGAATTTCACCACTCTAGATCCTCGTGTAAGTGGAATCATACAGTGTCCTTTTGGTGACTGGCTTATTTTACTCAGCATAATGTCCTCAAGCTTCATCCATGTAGCATGTGTCAGGATGTCCTTTTTAAGGCTGGATGGTACTCCATTGTATGTCTAGACCACATCTTGCTTATCCATTCATCTGTCGATGGACACTGGTCTTGCTTCCATCTTTTGGCTTTTGTCAATTGTGACTAGTGCTGCTATGAACATGGGTGTACAAATATCTCTGAGACCCTGCTTTCAATTATTTTGTGTTTTTTTTTTTTAAATTATTTATTTATTTATTTTTTTTCCCCAAAGCCCCAGTAGATAGTTGTATGTCATAGCTGCACATCCTTCTAGTTGCCGTATGTGGGACGCAGCCTCAGCATGGCCAGAGAAGCCGTGCGTCGCGTGCGCGCCCGGGATCCAAACCCGGGCCGCCAGCAGCGGAGCGCACGCACTTAACTGCTAAGCCATGGGGCCAGCCCTCAATTATTTGGATGTGTACTCAGAAGTGGAATTGCTGGATTATTTGATAATTCTGTGTTTAGTTCTTTGAGGAGTCACCATACCGGTTTCCGTAGTGGCTGGCACGACGTTATATCCCACTGACAGTGCACAAGGGTTCTAGCTTCTCTGCATCCCCACCAACACTTGTTGTTTTCTAGTTTGTTGTGGTTAGTAGCCATCCTTTTTTTTTTTTTTCCTTTGTGAGGAAGATTAACCCTGAGCTAACATCCAATGCTGATCCTCCTCTTTTTGCTGAGGAAGACTGGCCTTGAGCTAACATCCGTGCCCATCTTCCTCCACTTTATGTGGGACACTGCCACAGCATGGCCTGACAAGTGGTGTATCGGTGCGCGCCCGCGATCTGAACCCGTGACGCCAGCAGCGGAGTCTGTGCTCTTAACCACTATGCCACGGGGCTGGCCCCGTTAGGAGCCATCCTACTATGGCTGTGAGGTGCTGGTTCACTTTTTACGTATTAAATAGTAGAGAATTATGAAATGAGAATCTGTTGAATAAAATGTCTGCAAAGTCTGCCTTAGATTATTCCTTGAGAACATGGTTCTCAGCTCTTTAACATTTTCCTGGTTTTGAAGATCTACATATACCTGTTAATGGGCGTGTCCTTTGAGTGCAGTTGCCTGCTCATCAGCAGCCATAAATGAGCTGGTTGTTGATCCACTTGTAAACACTGACCCAGGTAGCAAGTGCAAACAGGCTCTGGCTCATCCTGACCCCTCGTTCTTCTCACACTGGCATCATCACACTCAATGTTTTTGAAAACTGGTGGCCTATAATTGGCAAAGTATTTTCAGTTTTAGATTTATAAACACCTATTAGAATGATCAACACAATGATTTTTTTTCCATTTCTGTGTCATCTGTTTCCTTCCAATCACCATTATATACACACGTGCCTTCAGCTTTTGATCACTTACAAACTACCTGTAAATGTTGGTCACAGACATTATAAAAGGTGGAAGAATCCTGTCACACGTTCTCTCAGCAGAACAGAATGGTCCAAGTTCTTGTCATAAGATATTGGGGAACAAAGTCGTTCCTGTTGAGTGACTAGCTGGATGACAATATATTTAGTTTTTGTCCTTAGAAATATATTGTTCACTCCTTGATTCTTAAGTCGGAGAAAATTCATCTAGGATTTTGGCATCTGAGAACTCATAGTCTAAGATTTTGCTGTGATGCTCAATTTCTCTGTCATCATTAAAGCCTAAAGTACTGCTGTTTGTCTCTGCAATAATTTTCTGATTTGTCTAATAATTACGAAACCTCTTTACCAGTTTTTTTCTTTTTGATGTTTTGGGTGGAAAGGAAAATGAAAAGTTTTGAATTTTCAGGTGTGGTCGATGAAAGCTTTAAGAAAGACAACAAAGATGGTGTCTCTGAACTTCTTTTATTTTATTATTTTCTATTTTTCTTTTTGTGTGTGAGGAAGATTGGCTCTGAGCTAACATCCATGCCCATCTTCCTCTATTTTGTACGTGGGACGCCACCACAGCATGGCTTGATGAGTGGTGCATAGGTCCACGTCTGGCGTCCAAACCTGTGAACCCGGGCCACCAAAGCAGAGCACCTGCACTTAACCGCTACGCCACCGGGCCGGCCTCTCTGAACTTCTTTTATATTTCTAGAAAGAAATGCAGTACCTCGAGCAACACAATAAAAAGCTGAAGAATGAGGCAGTAGTAACAGGTTTCTCCCCGCTATTGCTTCATTCTTCTAGAAAATCCCATCCTTCTTTCATCTTATTATTTTAGTCTTTTGAGCATAGTTGGGAATAGTCAATGAGTAATGGTGAAATAATTATGAGGATGATGAAATTGCTGTTTAGTTTCAAGACATAGGAAAAATAAGATCACTAATACCCCAAAATATATCTTAGATTATAAAAGGGACCAGTGGACCCATATGGTAATTGCAAGATAAAATGAGTTTCATTCTATCAAAAAAAGTAAGTAAATTTTTTCTTTGCTCTTCAGAAGACCTCCAAGAAAGAATAAAAGTAATGAAATATCAGTCCTTATAAAGAGTTAGAATTGCTAAAAAAAGAAACTTAAAGACTAAAATTGGGTCCATGATGGTGTCCTGAGGGTAATGTCCCCGTGAAGGTGACTGAGTTGTCTCAGAAGGTGACAGTAAAATTCTGGCTTATCGTTTCAGGGGCATTGACGTTGTGAGGAACAAAATCAAAATGTTTGCCCAGCAGAAAGTCACCCTCCCCAAAGGCCGGCACAAGATCATCATCCTGGACGAAGCGGACAGGTGCAGTGCTTGCCACACACGTTTACACCTTGGTCTTTCTTCTCTTATTGGGCTGTACTAAATCAGGAGAGAAGGTCTCACTTCGTACTTCTGTGGTAGCTTGCGCATCACATCCTCAAAAAGCCATTTAATAGGGGCCTGAGCCTTAAACCTTATCATTATGAGGTAACTTGCCAACGTTTGTCTAAGAGAGCTGGGTAATGTGTTTGTGCCAACATCACTTCCATGAATAATTTAAATATTTTTTTAATTGTTGTGAAATACACATAATGTTCACCATTTTCACCTTTTTTTTTTGTTTGCTGAGGAGGAGTCCCCCTGAGCTAACATCTATTGCCAATCTTCCTCTTTTTGCTGACGAAGATTAGTCCTGAGCTAACATCTGTACCCATCCTCCTCCATTTTGTGTGTGGGTCGCTGCCATGGCATGGCTGATGAGTGGTGTGGGTCGGCACCTGGGAACCGAACCCGCAAACCCGGGCCACCAAAGCAGAGTGTGCCGAACTTAGCTGGTACACGAGTCCAGCCCCTACCATTTTCACCATTTTAAGGTGTACAGTTGAGTGGCATTTAGTACATTCACAATGTTGTGCAACCATTACCGGTATAAATGAAAAAATTTTAATGACAATAAAAAAGACAACAGTAATTCATGTTCTTTGAAGAAAATTTTGAAAATATTATTTCATCTCCTGTTTTTCTATACTATGCATTTTTACATAGTTGAGATCATAATATACATAATTTTTGTATGCTGGTTTTTCTGTTCAATGTAAAAAGCAGTGTTCCGTATTATTATAATCTTCTTGTGAGCGTGTTTTTTTTAATATTTATTTATTTATTTTGTGTGTGTGTGTGTGTGTGTGTGAGTGTGTGAGTGTGTGTGAGGAAGATCAGCCCTGAGCTAACATCCATGCCAATCCTCCTCTTTTTGCTGAGGAAGACTGGCCGTGGGCTAACATCTGTGCCCATCTTCCTCCACTTTATATGGGACGCCCCCACAGCATGGCCTGACAAGCGGTGCGTCAGTGCATGCCCGGGATCCGAACCCGGGCCGCCAGCAGCGGAGCGCACGCACTTAACCGCTGCGCCATGGGGCCAGCCCCATGAACGTGGTTTTAATTGCTCTGTGATATTCCAGGGTGTGGTGCACCTTAACCATTTTACTGTAACGTTATTTATAGCAATGATGGCAGCTAATGTTTATTGAGCTCTTATATGGAAGCATTTACATTATGCCAGGCACTCTGCTGACCACTTCACATGTTATTATCTCATTTAATTGTCCTGACAACCCTCTGAGTAGGGAGTATCGTCATCTTCTTACAGAGGATGACACGGGCTCAGATGCTTTGCCTGAGGTATCTACCCACAGCTAGCAGAGGAAGGAGCTGTGAGGTGAGCCCAGGAGCCGCCCGCAGGGCCTCTGCTTTCTCCCCGTGTGCAGCTGCCCATGTGAGACCCAGGCGGGGTCCTGGAGAGAGGCTGAGCGTGCTCAGTCAGGAGTTCAGGGTCCCAGGTCTGTGGGGGGGATTTGTGTCCGGGGGGCCCTGGGTCCCAGTTGCAAACTGCTCCCTTGTGTTTTTCTTCTCAGCATGACTGATGGAGCCCAGCAAGCCTTGAGGAGAACCATGGAAATCTACTCCAAAACGACTCGCTTTGCTCTTGCTTGTAATGCTTCAGACAAGATCATAGGTGAGGGTCAGCTCTGGGTGGCTTGGGGCCCATGTGGTGCTTGTGTTGGCTCTTTAGCAGAAGAGTAGGGACTTTTTGATTGCCTGCCATGGGCTAAGCACTGTGTCATCAACTTTTTCATTTAATCTTATATAATTCTACGCAGAGGTATTATTAGCTGCACATTAGAGATGAGAAAACTGGAGCTCAGAGAGGTCGAGTGGTTTGCCCAAAGTCACACAGCAAGTAGAAGAGCTGAGATTGGAACCCCAGGTCTGCCTGAGTCTTGCGCCGTCGCAGACACACGTGGTGTTGTGACACCCCGTGCACGGTGTCGTGGTCCCTGCGCCTCTGCAGACCTGCTCCTCCACATGCTGTGTCTGCACGCGGTGCTCTGCTGTCACCAGGAATTGTCTCACCGGTGAAACCTTGCACGTTAGTCTTCTCTCTGACCTGGCGTTTGTCCTTGCAGCCCCGCCACTGCCAGCAGTCCGTCTGCTTCCTCGCTGGTTTGAGCCCTCCGGTCTCAGTGTCTCCACTTCCTGCTGGTCTCCCCTCCTTCCCTTTCTGATGCAGATTGTGGGCACAGTCCAGCTTTCCTCTCTGCCTCTCACCGTCTCTCACAGCTCTCTGTGTCACTGTCCTTGCCTCCCGTCTGCCGCGCTAAACCCCAGCCTGTGCGAGCCCAGCCCGCTCCTCCACCTGGGCCGCGTGCGCTGCTGCAGAAAAGTGTGTCGCCCGCCGTGACGCCCCGCAGCCTTGTGGTTTCTGGTCTCGGCGGGATCTCGGTGTCGCTGGGAGTCCTCGTGTCCTTTACCTCCCCCAGGTCGTCACACACATACTCTGCTCTCAGGAGCTGTCAGCCCCGTGCCAGTGCGGGACATACAGACTTCAATGAGAACCCTCTCTACCTTCCAGACACCAGCGATGTGGTGGAGAAAACTGTTTAGAGTTCTCGGTTTATGGCCGTGTGGGTAGCTTGTCTCCTTGACCAGGGTAGACAGATCTGTGAGGGCAGGAGGTCTTAGACTTCAGACCCCTCCCCAAATGCATTTTGCATAGGGCTCTGCATTAATGAGTTTGTTTAGTGATTTGAAACCACAGTTGTCAATGGAGAAGGCTCTGACCCTCCCTTGTCGTTAATGTTTCAGAGATATACAGCATTCTGATTTTTTTTAATTTCTAAAGAGATATAACAAACCTGTAAATGAAATCTCTAAAGAAATTAATTTCTTAGCTTTAGTGGAAATGGTTCATGATCAAATTGCTGCAGAGGTGATTTTTAAACTCAGTAACTGAGGGCCGGCCCCGTGGCTGAGCGGTTAAGTGCACACTCCGCTGCTGGCGGCCCGGGTTCGGATCCCGGGCGAGCACCGACGCACCACTTCTCCAACCACGCTGAGGCCGCGTCCCACATACAGCATCTAGAAGGATGTGCAGCTATGACATACAACTATCTACTGGGGCTTTGGGGAAAAAGAAAGAAATAAAATTAAAAAAAAAAAAAAGATAAACTCAGTAACTGAACCTGACTTTGGCTTCTGGGGTCACACGGTCAGGAGGGAGGCATGCTTTCTTTGAGGAAGGCCATGGCTGCCTTATTCTAACGTGTATTTAAATTCTGTGAATTCAGCTTTTGGTACTTCTCAAAAGAGAAAACTCTGCTAAAGGAAACTTCTAGTGTACTTGGAACGTTAATTGGTTTTAAATCATCGATCTTGTTCTTGTCTGTGCTGATGAACCACACGTGTAAATAGGGTCTGGCATGCAGCTTCCTGAGTTCAGATACACTGACGTGGACGAACTCTTAGGAAAGCTGCTCTTTGGAGTCTCGTCCGCTGGACAGATATCGAGCACGTTCTGTGTACACAGCATCCTCTGTGCACAGGGCTCAGTGGAGGCTACAGATCTGTGGGAGGCTCTGTCCCTGCCCCCCAGGAGCCCACGCACGGATGGGAGAGGGGGAGCCCCAAACAGCACCTCTGAGCCATCTTAAGTCCGCTCGTTTCCGCCTACCGCCACAGCCAGCCCCTCAGCAAAGTCAGATCCAAGGTCTTCCGGCCTCCCCAGTGTCTCAGGCCGCATGCCCCGCCCCACTCCAGGTCTGGCCTGCCTCTGTTTCTCCCCTTCACTGGTGCAGTGTTGCCCTGGTTCCTCTCGCTCCTGAGTCACTAGCTGGCTGCCAGGGTCACCTCAGCACAGTCCGACCTGCCACTCCCCCGCTGAACCCTCCAGTGGTCTTCCCCCAGGCTGGCACACAGGACCCCAGGGCTGCAGCCCCATCTCCTTTCACTCCATGCACTGCAGCCTCATAGCATCTCACCGTCCCCGAATCCCCTGTGCCCTTTGATCACGCTTGCTTTCGAACGCGCTGTTGCTTCTGCCTTTCCAGCAGGGAAACCTCAACCCTAAATACTCCTCACTGAGAAGCTCACCTGCACCAGGCGAAGTTGGTCACTCCGTGGCCTGGGCTCCAGAGCTGTTCCTAGAAGCCTCTTCCACGGCCCCATCCCGTTGCGTTGTAACTCTCCTGTTCATGCCTCCTGTCCCCGTAAACCTAAGCTCTAAGGAGCCAGGACCTTATGATATCTGTCCACTGCATTTCCAGCACCTGGGGAGGTAACTGGTTGCTTTAATGCCGATAAACTAACAGGAATATGTTCCTTGGAAGTGTGTGTGAGGACAAAGAAGGGGAGGTCGCTTCAGTCTGGGGAGATCTGGGCGGCTCCGTGAGGAGGTGGCTCTGAGGGGAACCTCCAGTGGTAGTTGTGATGTCAATGGAAGAAGCTGGTGAGAAGGACACCTGCGTGGGGAGAGCCCGCCAGGAGCGTGAGGTCAGTTTGTTCCAGGGCAGACAAGGTACCAGACGTGGGTTAGCAGAGCAGAGACGGGTGAGGTGTGTGGAAGATGTGCTGGGGTCAGGGGCTGACTGACTGTACTGTGACGTCAGGAGCTGTTGAAGGTTTGCTCTTCAGGAGGTGACAGATCAGAGCATTTTGAGGAAGGCCGGCGTGGCGGCAGAACAGAGGCTGGAGGAGAGAGACCAGTGGGGCTCGGAGATCCTGGAGAAGCTCTTGTCCCAGTCGAAACCAAAGGTCCGGGAGAGCTTCCAGGTTCTGCATTCGTCTTTCTAGTGGTTCTCAGCCCTGGCTGTGGTCAGACCCCTGCGGAGCTTTAAATAAACCACACGGTGTCCCGTGCTCACCTGGACTGGCTGGGTCGTGACCTGCCCAAAGGGCCAGCGCTCACAGCAACCTGGAGCCCACCCGGGCCAGCGCTGACTGGCCTGTGGGCTGTGGCACGCGGGCGTCTCTGTCGTGGAGGACCTTTTCCCCTTCTGGAAGCCGTTGCTAGCCAGGGTTGTCCAGGCAGTGCTGGCCTCTGTTGCTTACTGGCTGATATTTTGAAATTTAGCCCCAATCACCAAGCTTCTGTCGAGCGCCTGCCGGGCAGAGACAGCGGTCCCAGCCTGGCTGGGCCAGGTGGGTCGTGCAGCTGTGTGCTAGGAACTCAGGGACCAGTGGGGGGACGCCGTCCTCTGCAGGGGAGCCTCACTCTCGCCCTGTCTCGCTCAGAGCCCATCCAGTCCCGCTGCGCAGTCCTCCGCTACACGAAGCTGACCGACGCCCAGGTTCTTGCGCGGCTAATGACCGTTATCGAGAAGGAGAACGTGCACTACGCTGACGACGGCCTGGAGGCCATCATCTTCACCGCCCAGGGAGACATGAGGCAGGTGTGTGCGGTGCCGGCGGGCGCCACCTCCTGGGCTTGCCAGCCCGTGTTGTGGGGAAGGGGGAGTGACCGCAGCACAGAGACGAGCACAGCCAGAGTGGGGAACGTTGACCCAGCGCACTGCTGGGGCTGGGCTCCCAAGCGCAGGCCTGCAGGAGGGCGCACAGCTCAGGCCCTGTGAGGACGGTGGGGACAGGCCAGGTGGAAAGTCACCCTGGACGTGTTTTTGTTCCTCAACAGGCATTGAACAACTTGCAGTCGACCTTCTCGGGATTCGGCTTCATTAACAGTGAGAATGTGTTCAAGGTACAGAAGCTGGCCTGGGTCTCAGTCTGCTCAAGCTGCCGGAGGTGGGGCGGGGCCGGGAGGAGGGAAAGACCCTGCTGCTGCCGCTGGGTTGGGGCTCCCACTCCAGCAGGGGGCGCTCTGGATGCCACCAGTGTGTGGACAGACGGAAGTGCCAGCAGTGCCGCTGCTGCAGGCCCAGACCTGGGTGCCTTCCCCTGGGTCCTGTTGGGTGCTCACGACACCCCTGCACACAGACCTCCTGTCAGCGTTTTGTGACTGAGGAAACGGCCCAGAGCTTGCCCAAGGTCACCCGGCTGCTCAAGGGCTGGAGTGAGCACAGCCTTTCCCCTCAGGCCGCCCCACCCTGAGGGCCTGTCACCACTTCCCACGCCAGGAGGGCGGGTAGCAAAGCTCTTCAAAGCCACGCGAGGAAAAAGACTCTTACTCTTCCGTATTGGCGAAGGATTTTTCTTCTGGGAATTCTTTTCTTTTTTTGCTGAGGAAGATTTGCCCGGAGCTGACATCTGTTACCAATCTTCCTCTTTTTGCTTGAACAAGATTCACCCTGAGCTAACATTTGTGCCAATCTTCCTCCATTTTGTGTGTGGGATGCTGCCACATTGTGGCTGCCAATGAGTGATGTAGGTCCGTGCCCGGGAACCAAACCCATGACCTGGGCTGCCAAAGTGGAGTGTGTGGAATTTAACCACTAGACCTCAGGGCCGGCCCCCTGGGAATTCTTTTGAAAACCGGCTACCACATCCTAACAGCTTGGTGTCTAAGTGCTGTTTTGGAGACCAATTTCCCCCTTATTTGGGGGTAAGGGTGGGGTGGGGCTGTCTGTGCGTTCAGTCTGTAGCTCTTCTTACTGAGTTCCTGGGTAAAGAGAGCCGTGTGGAGAGCCTCGGGTTAGACCTTGGCAGTGATGTTTTCAAGGGCGCTGTGGGAAGGGGAGCTCGCCTAGTCACCTGTAGTGGTGCTGAGGTTGTGTTTCATCCTGGAGCAGAGCACTGAGGACCCGGGGAGCCGTGACTGCTGAGGGAAGGCAGCGGGGCTGGGAAGAGCAGACCCGGAGCGGGTGTCGGCGCTGTCTGGCGCCGTCAGAAGGTGTCTGTTAGATTTCAGCGTGGATACCGCTCTAGAGGGCAGAATCGAGGCCAGGGGAGGGAGCTGCCGGGAGGCAGCCTTGGGGTCAGGGAGCACCCCACCCCACCCAGCAGGCTCCTCCCCAGGTCATCCTGCTGGGCCTGGGGGACCCTGTGGGGAAAGCTAGTTCCTGCTCCGGGTGGGAGACTGGCCGCAGAGACCTCCCCGTTCTTACGTGGATTCTGGATGGTCCTGGGCACGGGCTCTTCCAGGTGATCTAAGACAGGTGGCTGACGGCTTCAAAGCTGCTACGAGCACAGAGTCCTTATTGCCCTCATTAATTGTCTTGTGTTTGAGAAATCTATGATCCTGTGTCAGAAGCTTTTCCTCACTGCAGTAGGTTGACACTGCTCTCTATTTGGTGACCTGTTTGGTGGTGAGAGGGACGTTCCCAAACCCGGTTCTGTTTGCTGGAGAATTTGATGCAAAAAGCCAGTTGAGAAGTCGGTTGCATAGGACACCAGAAGTTGGGTGTCAGGGCTCCTCCTCAGATGGTCTCCTCGGCCCTGACGGGGCTTTCTTTTCGGTTCGGTCAGGTCTGCGATGAGCCCCACCCCTTGCTGGTGAAGGAGATGATCCAGCATTGCGTGAATGCCAATATTGACGAAGCCTACAAGGTGCGCCCCATCCCCTTCCCTGACCCCGAGGGACCTTCGCATCTTGAGCAGAGCAGAGGGGCACTCCCTGTGCTGGGACCTCACGTGCATCGCTCCACGTAGCTCCTAAAGCGATGCTAGGAGTTGGGGACACTGCAGATGGGGAAATGGGTTCAGGGAGGCTCAAGTCCTTGTTCTAAATCACACTGTTGCAGAATAGTAGACCTGCAGTTCTAAATCACGCCTTTCTACTATAATTATATTCTCTGCAAGAGGAATTGGTCCACCTACACACGAGGAAAGGCCAGCCGCTCCTTATGTTGCCATGGAACATCTTTCTCCGTTGAGGGGAGACGTCCCCCCATCCTCCTGATGAGCGTGGGATTGGGCGTTCTGGGAGCTGCAGTCCCTTCAGCCAAGAGAGGAGGGACCAGCAGGTTTCTAGCCTGATTATAGAGCCTGGTCCTGTGAGAAGATTCCAGTGGGCGTCACTGGGGTTCAGGTGACCCTCAGGTCCACGTGGTGGCAATGGAATGATTTAAGGTCTGATGACAGCAGGTTTCCCTTCCCCTGCTCCCACCAAACTAGGCCAGAAGTTCACGGGGTTTAGGGCAGGGCCAGACCTGACATGAGCCTGGAGTGCAAGGCAGGGAGACTGAGGCAAAGACCTGGCACGGCCTGTAGGAAGCCTGCAGAGTCAGGAGCACAGAGCTTCCCCACCCCCTGAAGTTGCCCCAAGGTGCCGAAGGAAAGGCAGGAACAACTGACTGAGACCCTGCGGTCTGGATGGAGTGGGGGCATTGGAGCGGGGTCTGGGTAGAGAAGTCCAGAGGCTGAGATGACTGCTCCCGGCTCTGCCCTGCTCAGGACTGTTCCAGGCCGTCCTGCAGGGGGTGCACATTAGACTGACGGCTGGGGAAGGCACAGCAGATCTGTGGCTCTGCTACTTCCTCTCTGGGCTGCTTCCTGGGATGAACAGTAAAGCTTGCTAAGAGCCTTGGGTAAAGACGTTACATGGCCGTGGTAGTAGACAGTCGCGCAATACATCGTAGAACGTTTGCAATATTGTCTCTGCTGGGAAATCAGTTCAGTGCCCCTGCTGATCTAAGGGTGTGGCCCCCACAGCTCCTGGGTGCTCAGCTGATTCTCAGAATCACTTGGTTGTCTGGGACGATCTGTCCACTCCCAGCAGTGTGGCAGGCCGGGACTGGTGTGGCTTGAGCCTCATTTTCCCCAGTGTCCTTGTTGTTCACAGAGCTCTCTGCTCATGTCTAGATCCTCGCTCACCTGTGGCATCTGGGCTACTCACCAGAAGACATCATTGGGAACATTTTCCGAGTGTGTAAAACCTTCCAAATGGCAGAATACTTGAAGCTGGAGTTTATTAAGGTCAGTGAGAGTATTTGTGTGCCCCTTTATAGTCAGCTCCTCCCCTAGCACCTGGAAACCACTCATCTATTTTCTGTTTGGGGGACAGAATTTTGCAGAATGTGATATAAATGGAATCAAGCAGGACATGGCCTTTTGGGTCTGGCTTCTTTCACTTAGCTTCAAGCATTTCAGATTTGTTCATGCTGTTGTTGCCTCTGTCAGTGGGTCATTCCTTTTTACTGCTGAGTAGTGTTCTAGTGTCTGGACGTACCACAGTCTGTTCACCAGTTGAAGGACGTTTGGGTTTCCAGGTTTTGGTGACTCTGAATAAAGTCATTATAAACATTTGTGTACATGAATTAGTGTGAACGTGAACACAAGTTTTCATTTCTCTTGGGTAAATTCCCAGGAGGGAGATTACTGGGTCAAATGGTAAGTGTAATGTTTAACTTTAGAAGAAGCTGCCAGTCTGTTTTCCAAAGTGGCTGTAGTATTTGCATTTCTGCCAGCACTGTGTGAGCGTTCCAGACAACCCACATCCTCACTGGTGCTTGGAATGCTCAGTGGGTTTTTTAGCCATTCTTACAGTGTGTAGTGGTGTCTCATTATGGCTTTCATTTGCATTTCCCAGTAACTAATGACGTCAGGCACTTTTTCATGAGCTTATTTGTTCCATAATCTTCTTTGATGAAGTGTCTGTTCAAATCTACCCTTTTTTTTTTTTTTTGGTGAGGAAGAGTGGCCCTAAGCTAACATCCATTGCCAATCCTCTTTTTGCTGAGGAAGATTGTCCCTGAGCTAACATCCGTGACCATCTTCCTCTGTTTTGTATGTGGAACACCACCACAGCATGGCTTGATGAGCAGTGTATAGGTCCACACCTGGGATTTGAACCTGTGAACCCTGGGCTCTCAAAGCAGAGTGCACAAACTTAACCACTATGCCACTGGCCAGCCTCTACCCATTTTTTAATTGTGTTGTTTTCTTTTTCTTTCTTTTTTTTTTTTTGTGACGAAGATTAACCCTGAGCTAACATCCGATGCCAATCCTCCTCTTTTTGCTGAGGAGGATTCGCCCTGAGCTAACATCTGTGCTAACATCTTCCTCTACTTTATATGTGGGACACCGCCACAGCATGGCTCGATAAGTGGTGCCTAGGTCCACACCCGGGATCCAAACCTGTGAACCCCAGGAGCCTGCGAACTTAACCACCATGCCGCCAGGACGGCCCCTGGGTTGTTTTCTTATTACTGAGCTTTGAGAGTTCTTTATGTATTCTGGATGCAAGTCCTTTATCAGATACGTATTTTATAAATGCTTTAATATTTTCTCCAAGCCTGGCCTTTTTTTGTGTGTTAACAGTATCTTACATAGAAATATCAATATCCTTTAGGAAATAAATGGAACTTTAGTTAAACATAATTCATTACCACTTAAGAGTTCATTTTCCAATTTTGAGTTTTGAGTTCATTGCATCAGTTTTGATTAAACCATTCAGATTAAAAAGATAAACTCCTCCCTCACTTATTAACCAGCCTGAGATCTGATTGGTCTTGCAGGAGATCGGCTACACTCATATGAGCATAGCAGAAGGCGTGAACTCCCTGCTGCAGCTGGCGGGGCTGCTGGCCCGGCTGTGTCAGAAGACCATGGCCCCGGTGGCCAGTTAGAGCGGAGAACTCACTGACTGGGCTACGAGAGTCGTCGTCCCTGAGGGATGGGAGTCACAGCCTCCTGGTTTGGAAAAAACACTGCCTGGTGTCAGAATACGCCTTCCATCAATACGGTCGTGGCCTTCGCCTTGCTCCCAGCACGTCTCCACAAGGGTTCGCATTCAGCCTCAGACTCACAGCTGTGGTGACAGGGTCTCAGCCTCCAGGGCCTGGCACCCGAGCTGGGCATGTGTTGGCATTTTAGCTAATAAAACCGTACAGTTTTGTTGGCAATGAGGGGACAACACAAGGCAGCAAGGAAAGCCAGCGTCCTGTCTCTGCGCGTCCTCGGGGCCCCACAAGTAGAAAAGGTGACTTAGACCAGGCTGGACAAGCTCATCTCATTTTTCTAGAAGCCTGGAGGACAGTGCCATGGGGCGAGGGTGGGGCTTGCTGTAGTTACTGCCTGGATAGACTCAGGACAGCCGGCCGAGCCCTCCAGAAGGCCTTACAGGGATGCCCAGCAGGCAGCCGGGACGCCTGCCAGGTCGCCTTTTCCATTGAGCCCTGTGTGCGCCTTGCTCTCGAGTTCCCCAGGAAATTTTATATTAATTTGTAGTATTGCCTTTTTTTTCTCTGCAAGGTACCGTTTTTTTTTTTAAATTGTGAAGAATATCAATTGTACATAAAAGTAGAGAGAATGATAAAGTGAACCTTCATGTATTCCTTATCCATCCTAATAGTTTCACCAGCACAGGGCCAGTCTTGTTTGCTCTGTGTTCCCACCGTGCTGCCCAGCTCCAGGATTGCTCCGGAGCAAATCCCAGGCGGCGTTTTCGAGTGGCGTTTTGGTGGGCTGGCTCGGCTTCCCTGCTTGGTAGCCTCAGGAGGAGCTTTGACTGAAAATATACTTGTGACATGCTGGCTTCTCCTGCCCTGGGGCTTCCGGAGGACAGGCCACCACAGCGGCGGGTGCAGGTAGTGTGGGGACAGCTGCAAGGCCCGCGGGCCTCTCTCCCTCACGCTCTCTCCTGGCCCGAGCGTGGGTCTCCACGGCTCTTCTGCTCTGGCCTGAGGCGGGGAGCAGGAGGGAGCAGGGAGGGAGGGGCCTGTGGGCACCTCTGCTTGGCGCCCGCCCTCCCGGGCAGGTTAGTCACTTGTCCGGACCACGTTGAATGGGGACACTAAGCAGGCACAGGCAAGCCTCCAAGATTACTGGCCCTTTGGGTTAAAGTTTTGATGAAGAGGGGAAAAAATATGAAGGTCTTCAAAAACTGCAGGGTGAAGTTTTACAAAATACTTTCTCGTTCCTTCTCAATCTTAAGTTTTGTCTGGAGCCTCAGGATCCCTGTGAGGTGGGGGAATGACTGTGCCGTTTTCCAGGTGCGGCCCCTGGGCCCAGAGGGGGGCTGGGCTCGCACACCTGCTGACTGCGGAGGCAGGACATCCCACGGAGCCCCCTGCCCCTTGCTCAGGCCTAAGCTCTTGTCTCTGAGCTTGTGGATTAGGACCTCGGGGCGTGAAGTGACAAGTGGCCAACAGTTGTGTTCTAGATGTTTTTGCCCAATTTGTGGCATTAACTTCTCATGGAAAAAATTGGTGTGGCATCTTGGAGAGAGGGCTGGCCCTGGGGACCAAGTGCCTGGCCCCAGGCCTCCACGCTCCGGGCCTCAGGGTCCCTTTCTAAACAAGAGACTTGCCCTTCGTCCAGAAGGTGTCACGCGCAGCAGGGAAAGCAGACACACAGAGCTTCTGCTCTTAGACCACGACGGTTTATTGAGGCGTCTCGGTTGGAGGAGGCATTTTTATCGCTGACTCTGGCCTTCCTGACTCAAGGTCCCTGGGGCCCCTGCCCTTCCTGTGAGAGGGTCGTGTTTCCCAGTCAGCTCAGCCAAGGCCAGCCCTGGAGCAGAGGGGTCCCCGGGGGGCCTCGCCTGGGCACTCCTCCACTGCCTGCCCCTTCTCCAGGGCTCTGGGACGTTTGTCCACTGAAGGGTCGGGAAGACGGCTGTAGCCTCATCTCCTCCTGAGCAAACAGGCCTGAGAAAGGGGCGCCAGGGCTCCCCTAACTGCTGAGGTTAAGTACACATAATGCTTATAGGAGACCAGACTCTACCCCGAAATGTAGAACATTAAACCTGGCTCCACCCATATAAATTAACTGTACAAACCGATCAGTCACAAGAAAATCCCAGCAACCAACGTGAGTAAGCAATTTGGGATCCAAATCCAAAGCAAAACAGGACAGGAACACCGGGTTGAATGGGTTTTAGATGTGGGCGTGGGGTGCTGCTGCCCCGAGCCCTGGGCGTCCGGTCAGGCTCCTGCCCTGTCCCGTGGGAGCTGGTCACAGGGCCCTTCCGCGCTGACTGTCCTTTCCAGGCTGGGTCCCCAGGGCCTGCGGATGCTCCGTGGGAGGTACTGGTGTAAGCGTGCCCGGGGTCTAGAAGGCGAGCAGCTCTGGAGAAGTGATCCTCAGGAGGCGAGAGGTGGCCCTTGGCTCCTTCAGTGAAGATGAAAAGGCTGTTAAAAGGAAAGCTTTGCTCCCACTGGCACTTTGTTCCCTCAGTGCTGAGCAGCTGGTCCGGGGCCGGGAGGGGCGTGGGGTGATGGTCAGTATCCAGCTGCCCTCCTGCGGCCCAGCTGAACAGAGGAGCTGCCTGGGGAGCAGCCTCAGCTGTGCTTGTGATTCCGGGAGCTTCCCCTGTTCGTCTGAAATCCTGACTGTGCTCTGGTCCTGGCCAAGGCCTGGTTATTCCGACTTGCCCTCCGTCTCTGTCTCCAGCTGGACCTCTCCCCAAGTCCATGCACAGATCTCTGACTGCCCACTTTATATTTCCTCCTGCACGGACATCTCCAACTTAACAGGTCCAGAAATAAAACGGCCTCGCCCACAAAGCCTGCTGCCTGCTGCCTCCCGGATCTCAGTGCCCATGGGGACATGCTCCTGCCGCTCAGGCAGACCCTGCAGCCCTTTTCAACTCCTTTCCACCTCACACCCATGCCCAGTGCGTTGGTGAGTGCCACTGGCTCCGCAGGTCCTTCTGCTGCTACCTCCCCGGGCCAGGGGGCCATCCGGACTCCAGCCCTGACATCCTGGTCTCCCTGCCTCCACTGCTGCTGCCCGCCCCGTATGCAGTCCTCTGCTCAGCAGCCAGTGATCCTTGAGGAACATCGGTCCCCCTTCTGTCCCACCCTCCCATGCGGCAGGCCTGTCTCAGAAGCCCCCCAGGTGCTCCTCCTCCTCCATCTCTGCAGTCCCCCCAATTCCTGCCTCCTTTCCCCGCTGGGGTCAGACCCCTGGGCACGCTCCTGCCTGGATGAGGAGGGCCTCCCTCCTGCAGTCACACCCCTCCCTGCCAGATGGACCCCACCCCACAGGCTGCATTTCTTCTGTTCTCACGTCTCATGCTCCTCTGTTCTCTCCACCCCCAGAACGGAAGTTCTAGGTAGGCAGGGATTTTTGTGTATTTTGTCTATTTCTGGGTCATCCGCACCTAAGGCAGGACCTGCCCCTGGCAGGTGCCCGGTGAATAGTGCGTGAATGGATGAGCAGTGGGCCCTGCACGCCTGGCTCAAACTTCTGTGGCTGATCCTGCTGCTGGCTCTTGACCGGCCCGGCCCACCGCCTGCTGAGAGGACTCCTGTGCCCCCAGGTCAGGACTTAGCACAGCCTTCAAGGGACCTGGGTCCATCCCGCCTCCCACGCAGTGGCAGAGCCTGGGCTCTCACGTCTGAGCTGGGGTGTCTGTCCCTGCTCGGCTCTGTGTGTGTGCCTTTGAGGGTGTGTGTGAGCGCTTGGCACCGTGTTGGCTGGTGCAGCGGCTGCTCAACAAACATCAGTGTTGTCATTGACACCGCCTCTCCCAGTCCTGCCCTGCCCGAGTCTGCCCCTGCGAGCTCTTCACGCCCAGTGTCTCGTCTCAGAAGACGTAGGTCCCATTAGCTCCATTGTGCAAGTGAGGAAAGAGGTCCCAGGGGGTGCAGTCACTCCCCCGACGTTGCAGACACCCCCCAGGGCCCACCCTTCACCCCACGGCTCACCACCTTCCCTGCCTGACACCCCTCGGCCTGAGACTGTGCCTGCCGTGCATCTGTCACCTCCCCAGTCGGCCACAGGGGTCGGGGGTAGGGTGGGCAGGGACTGCTCGGGAGCCCAGCGCTGGGGTGCAGAGTCCCAGCGCCCTGCAGAGCCACCCCGTCTCAGCACCCATGGGTGCTGCCCCACCACTCCCACCATGGCTCCTCCAGCTGAGATCCCTGCTTTTCCCCGACCACCGTGGACCAAGGCAGCCATACCTTCCTCCCAGGTCTCCTCTAGGCTTGTGTGGCCGCCACGTCCCCATTCACATAGTCAGGCTCCCCGCTGTCCTCGTCTGGGCTCCCTGCCCATGAGGGGGGTGCTTCTCTCAGGACTTGCTCTGTGGAGAGACCAGGGGGCAGCTGGTTCACAGGACACACCTACCCCTGCTCCCCCAGATGCCACAGACCGGCCTGTAGGAAAGGCTTCACTGGCTGGTGTGTTTGTCCTGTCTCTGGGATTTGCCAGAGGCTCGTCCTGCCAGCACCCGGGTGAGTGTGACTCCATCCCTGCAGCTGGATTGCCGCCTGCCCGGGAGGACCTGCCCTCAGGAGGCTGCGAGGCCGCGGAGGGGAGGCCTGGCTGGTTCAAGGCCTCTGCAGCCACTGATGCGCTGGAGGCTTCCCAGCCCACCCCAGCCTGGCCCTTCACCTAGCAGCCTCCCCTATCTCCCCTCCCCCGCCTGGTCCTCCCAGGCCAGGCCCCTCCGAGCCTGCTAAAGGTGACCACGTGGGGGACCCTGCTCTGTGGCCACATACCCACGACCTTCCTGGACTCCTGCCACTGCTGGATGGACGCCGAGTTCTGATAGTCCTCAGACCCCTCGTCGCCTGCGGGGAAAGCGCCGGGAGAAAGGCTGGCAGAGGGGCAGCCACCACGGCCAGTCCCCAAGGCACCACGTGCCCAAGCCAGCAAGGCACCACGGGCCCCTCCAGAGAGGCATCGTGCACCCTCATGCCAGGCAGCCTCTCGGGGGGGGAAGGGACCCCCTCAGTGCGTTCCCACTGAGGCCCGGGACCAATGGGGACTCCTCCTGGGACACGAGGCTATGCTCTAGCCAGTGCACCAAGACACCAGTGACCCTTCAGGCTTCAAGGCAGGCGATGCCTTCGAGCATCTCATTGTAGGCCGGCCTGGCTGGGGAGCCCTGCCTCCCGGCCCAGCGCCCGGGCTGGCGGCCTCACCTGACTCGGTGCGCTGCTTGCAGATGAGCACGTTCTCATAGGAATTGGCATCCTCGTCGTCTGCAGGGAGAGGGGAGAGCACTCGGGATGCTGGTGGGCCTGGCCCGACATGCCCGCTCTTCCTCCCTCTCTCTCTCCTGCCCTCCCTCAGCGGGTGACCTGTCCTGCCAAGCCCCAGCCCTCTGGGTCCCCCAGGGCCTCAAACATTCTCCCGGAGAAGCTTCTTAATGGGCGCTGGCCTGGCTCCAGCAGCCCTGCCCCGGGCTCCTCCATCGTCTTCCGAGGTCACCCCTGAATGCACTGGGGAGAGGAGATTAGGGGAGAGGGCTGCAATCAGGCCCACGATGGCTAGGTGGAGGGAGGGAGGCCCATCTCTATTGGGCAATGAGGGGCAAGGAGAGCCACGGGGGGCTGGGAAGAGCCAGGAACCAGGCAGGCCGGGTGGGCTGAGGGGCCCTTGCCCAATGGCCTAGGCTGGGTGTGGCACGTCAGAGCGTGGCACCCCCACACCACCCTTGCCACAGAGAAACTGAGCTCTAACCACTGCCCCACCCAGCGTCCATGTGGGTCAAAGGGGCTCCGAGAAATGAGGCCCAGCCCCAATTCAGAAGCGGTGGGGGAAAAAGAGGAGCCCTCTCTCTCACCCCCGACCCCAGCATGGCCCCTGCAGGAGCCCAGTCGAGGGGCTGGACTTGAGCCCTGGCCTGTGCACCTTGCAGCAAGCACTGCTCGCCCTCGGCCCTCTTTCTCTTTCTGGAAAGCAAAGGTGTTAAGGGTCTACAGTTCCAGCGTCCTTGAGCCTGCGGGGCTCGGAGTCCGTCAGCAAGGAGGCCCCGTCCAGGGCGAGGTCCCGTAGGCGCTCACCAGGCGCTGCCCAGCCCTGAGGGGGCCTGGATGACCAGCGGCCCAGCCTCCCCGCTGCCCCCGCCCCAGCTCCTCCTCTGCTTCCTTCAGCCCCGTGGCACACTGCCCCCTCTCCTACCCCCTGCCCCCCCCACACGCCTTCCCTCCTCTGCAGCTGGGCTCCTGTGTCGGTGTCAGCCTCCCTCATCTCTCCCCCGCTGCGCCCTCCATCCAAGCCTCGGCCCAGCCTCCTCCTCCGCATCCTCACAACCGCCTCGGCCTCCTCCCTCTCCCCTCCTCATCCTCTGCCTCACCTTCCGGGGGCTTCTGGAACCGCTCCCAGTTGTAACAGTTCATGGTGATGGGGTCGCTGGAAAGAAAACCCAGACGCAGCCTAGTCGCCGGCGTGTGGTTGGAGTGGGGCACCGTGGGGGCAGTGAGGCCAGGGCCGCTCCAGCCATTGTTCCCCGGGGCCCGTGGGGACATGGCCAAGTTCTCCCCTGATCCCTCCATCCTGCTTCCCTCGGCCCCTGAGCCACCCTGGGGCCCAGGGTGTGGCAGCCTGGCTTTAGCCACCTTGCCATGTGACCCGAGGCAAGTCCCCTTCTGCCCTGGGCCTCAGTTTGCCCACATGTAAGATGAGGAGACACCCTGAGGGCCCTTCCTCTCTGGGGTCCCAGGGAACTTGTCTCTGACTGGGGATGCAGGATGAGTCCCCCCAGATAGCCCCTCACATCCCACAAAGCCACGGCCACTGGAGGGGAAACAATGCTAGCGAGAGCCTGCCGGCCGCGGGTTCTGGGGCAGGAGACCTTCATAAATGAGGAAGCTGAGGGCAGGGGCAGGTGGGGGCGGGGAGGAGGTGCCAGGGCCCTGAGAAGCCACTCACACGTAGGCTGCATCTGACCCGTGTCTGCTTCCTGCAGGAGGAGGTGAGGATTAGGCCCGAGCTCTGGGTTCTGGGCCCCCACCGCAGCCCCCACCTCCCTGGAGCCCACCCACCTCTGCTGAGGTTCTGGTACCTGGTGGATGCAGAATCTGGAAGAAAGGCCAGGCTCATGACTCCCTCCCTCGCCCTGCCCGCCCCCTGGTTCTGGCAGCCCGAGGAAGGGACTGCGTCCGGAGGCCCAGGTGTTTCCCACTTTCACTCCTTGGCACTGGCTCTTTGTCCCCTCCACCGCTTGGCCAATCCCATCAGGTCTCCCAGCCCAGCTCGGGGGTCTCTCCTCTGCAAAGGCCTCCCTGTCAGGCCCACTCCCCTGGCCCCAGGCCTCCCCTGCACAGTACCTGTCCCACCAGGTATTCACCGTCCCAGTCCCCCAGCCCCTGCCCCGCCCCTGTGTCTGAGGGTCACTCACCGTCGAGGCTGGGGGAGAACCGCAGCAGCTGGCCCTTCCTGTGGGGGACGGGAAGGTAGGGCTGAGGATGGGCAAGGGGAGAGGCCCTTGGGCTTCTGGGGGTCTGAAGGCCACAGCCCCACAGCCCTCTAGTGGCGCCCTGAGAATCCAGCACTGGGGCTCTGGGGTCCAAGGAGGGATCAAGGTCTCGGCCTGGGCTCAGCAGGTGGGGACCCCAGGGCCCTCCTTCTCGTCGCCTCCTGTGGGGCTGTGACCCCTCTGCGTCTGAGACAGGGGCTCATTCCTACCTTGTTGACTCCACATCAGAGGCTGTGTCTGCCAGGGGCCCTGGCCAGGCCTGCCTGACCACTGCAAAGGACAAAGGGGTGTTGGCTGGGCCCCCAGGCCAGCCCACCAGTGCAGCCCCCTCACCCCCTCACCCCACCAGATCAGGCATGGCCACAGCCTCAGAACAATGGGGACGGAAGGGACTTTGAAATGGACCCCCCACCCCGAGTCCAAGCCCAGCCCCTGGACCCTTCTTTCCAGGACTCACAGGAATAGGTCCGGGCCACTGCAAAGCTCTGTTGGTTCTCATGCCTGGAAACACATGGGGCTGTGCTGAGCCTGGCCTGGCCTCCCACAGCCCAAAGGACGGTGACACAGGACAGACGGACAGACAGGGACGAGGAACGGAGAGGGGAGGGACAGACTAGGGCGAGAGTAAGGAGGAGCTGCCATCCCTCTGGGCCTCAGATCCAGGGCTCCCTGATGCCCCCATTCTCTGGACGCTCCCCTGCCCTGCCCACCAGGTGCCCACCCTGCTCACATGGCCCTGGGCTGGAGCCAGCTGCCAGCCAGACGCATCCCCAACACGGCCTCCCCAGGAACTCCCGGAGATGGTCAGGAGGGTCTGTGGGCAGGGCTGGGGAGGCGGCCCTGAGATTCTGGGGCGTGAGGGTTGGGGCAGCTGCTCAGAGCCCCAGTGGTGACTTCAACCAGGAGGCACAAAGAGGCTGCCCCCACTTCCCACCCCAGGAGTGTTTAACATTCCTAAGAGAGCACACCCTTCTTGAGACGTTTAAACACACCATACTCCCAAATGACTGGTGACACAGCTTCAAGGCTTAGCAGACACAGCTAGGTATCTAGCTATCACCCAGTGTCCCCTTGTTCCTTTGAAACAAAACCCTATTTTTTATTTACGCAGCCACATGCCCATCTGAAAGACTATATTTCCCAGCCTCCCTTGCACCTAAGTGTGGTCATGTGATTAAGCTCTGGTCAATGGTCAATGAAGTGCAAGCCAAGGTTGTTGGGACTTCCAGGAAAGCTCCTTAAAGGAGGCATTGCCAACTGAAGTGCACCCTTTTTGTCTTTCTCTTGCCTGGAATGCAGAGATGAGGGCTGGAGCTCTAGCTGGCATTTTGGACCATGGAGTGCCCTCGGGAATAGAAGCCACCACTAAGGATGGTGGAGCAGATTAGCCAATCATTAAAGCATTTTGGGCTCCTTCCCTGGATCAGAATGGGCACCTGGCTCAGCCTTCCAGGAGCTCCTGGGGGGCTGGGGGTCAGGGTGACCTTATTTAGGAAGGATGCTCTAAATCCACAGGAAAGAGTCAGGCGTGGCTTCCCGGAGGAAGTGATGCAGGAGCTGGGCCTGGCACACACGGCAGTCACTTCACGTAGGCTGGCAGGACTGAACCCAAGTCTCCCCTCCCACCTCCCTCCACCCAGACCCAGTTTTCCCACCTCCCACGTGAGGAGGTTTAGCTTCTGGCTCTGACCGTCCACAGTTCTCAGATCAATCAGGGGCCTGGAGTGGACAGGGACTAAAGGAGGAGGAGGAGGGAGAGACTGAGGAGGCCTGGCTGGCGGCAGGCGTGAGGGGTGGGCAGCGGGGGAGCCCAGCCCACCCCTGGCGGAGGTTGTGGGCTGGTGACCCAGGGGACTAAGTGGCCAAAAAGGTCTGGAAAGGTCCAGCCCTAGCCCCAGGGGTAGGCATGGATGGGAAAATTCTATTTTCAAATTTCACTGTGGTTTTTCAGTTGCAAAAGGAAATGAGAAAGGGTGTGTGTGCACTTGTCCGTGAGCGCCTGCCCGGGCGTGCACACAGGCGCTGAGTGTGGGAGAAGTGCACGCATGAGCGAGTGTGCGGGGACCTGGGGGTGTGGTGGGCGTGTGCATGCACAGTCTCAGAGCCCCGGCCTCCGTCAGCCCCTCTCCTTCTCGATGTAAGGACACCAGTGGCGCTGCCCTCCTGCGGGGGTGTTCCTGGGCCACCTCCTTGATCCGCAGCGTCTTGCACAGCTGACCCTCCAGGGCCCACCCCCGAAGTGCCTGGAACTCCATCCCGCCCCGGTTCCCCCAACCTGTCTGGGTCAGTGACCCCACTTCATCTTGACCCCCGCCTCCCTGCTTCCTGCTGCACTTAAGCCCCTGCTTCCTCCCTGACTCCCCTTGACCCTTAGGACAAAGGCCGCAGTCTCCCCAACAGTCAAGGCCCTCCTTCCTCCCCATCCAGCTCATCTCTCTCAAGACACGCCTGCACCTGCCACCCCACCCCCGGAAGACAGTGTCCACCCCGGTCCTACGCCGGCAACTGCCCACACTGGTCTCTCTCTCTGGAATGTCCCCCCTGGCCTTTCTCTCTTAAAACCCTTCCCTCCTCCTTCATCGGGCCTTCCCTGATCCCCCAAGGGACATGCCCACATCCTCCCCTCAGCTCCTTCCGCATTTTCCAGGGGAGACTCGGACACAGTTCACACTCTGCTTTGTGCCCAGTCTCTGCGCCCCCGTTGCCCGGAGGGCGGGATTCTTCCGTTGACCCTCAGCACCAGCACAGCGGGCCCCCCTGGGCTGGGGTCAGAGGGAGGGTCTGCGGAGGTGAAGGCAGGCAGGATGGTGGTATCTCCTCCTCTCACAGCACCCCCTGGCCAGGCTGGGGCAGGGCCTGGAGCCCCTGGACGTCCCTCTCTCCCTCTTCTGACTGCTCAGGACCCACTAGAGGCCGGCACGGAGGAGGTATGAGTGGAGGGTGAGGGGCAGGGTGCAGGAATGCCCAAGGGGACTCCCACGTGGGCGTCCGGGCCCAGGGCACACACAGTCACCAGGCTGGGGACACCGAGGCACTTACAGGCTCCTCTGCTCATAGATTTTCTCGGGCCTCTTCGTACCTGCAAGAACAGGACCAGACTAGCAGGCACCCCGGAGCGAGGAGCTGAGCTCCGAGGCTTCCTCACCTTGTCTCCCCTGTGCGCTGTGCAGGCCTTGCACAGGTTGTGGAGGCCGAGCCGCCAAGCACTGTAGACCCCTGACAGCGACAGGGCGTGTGCTCACCATCGATTTAGGACACAGAGCAAAGCAGCCCAGCCTCCCCTCCCTTGTCCAGAGCAATCCCCCCGCCTCAGACGTTCACCCTTGACCCAGCAAAACCAAAGCCCCACAGCGTCTTCAGGGGCAGTTTAGGGGCCGGCCCTGGGGGTGTCACCCCTGCCTTGTGAGGCTTATCCACCTGCCCTTTCCGACCTCAGCTGGGTCTAGGCCTGAGAGGGACCCTGCCTATGCCGTCTTCTCCTCCGTCGTGCCCAGGCCCCCAGCCTTTACCTGGGCGGGAGCAGCGCACACACAGGCCGGCCGCCGCCCCCAGCAGCAGCAGCAGGGCCGCCCCTGGCCACAGCAGCTCGGTCTCCACGCTCATGTCCACTCCTGGCCACTCTTCCTGCAGTGCTGCAAGGTGGGCACCCTGTGAGCCAGGAACCCGCCCAGCCCCACACTCTCAGGTTTCTGACTGTCCCCCTCCCCTGACAGCCCCAAAGCCGAGCCCAGGCCATGGGAGCGCCACCTTCCCCCCAGGCCCCACGACCGGGCCAGGACAGAACCAGCCCCATTCCTCCACCTGACCCCAGACCCGCACCCCTATCCCCCGGGGCCGTCGTCAACACTTGGTAAGTGCTGGAAGGTTTTGGGGCCCCACCAGACAGCACCACATGTATGTGCACACTCCTATACACATCCTCACTTAATTCACACAGCCGCCCCTTGAGGGAGAGGCTCGCTCCATTTCACAGATACAGAAACTGAGGCCAGAGGTCCCATAGCTGCTAAGTGAGAAGACAGAATTCAAGCTCTGGCCTCCGGACCCCAACTCTGGCTCTGCCCACTGGGTCCCTTGCCTGCCGTAAACCCAGCTTTGCTCTCCAAGCCTGGCATCGTGGCCCCTTCTGCACAGGGGCCCCCAGCAGCCCCACCCACCCAGCTCTGCCCTCTCCGTGGCCTCCCTCAGCGGGGGAGGGGGTGGGGTTTCCTCTCCTTAAACACCTGCACACCAGAACTCCCTGTCCCGGGGGCTGGGAGGAGGGAGCCTCCAGGGAAGGCCTCTTGGAGGAGGTGGCCTGAGAGCATGAGAGGAGAGGGCCTCTGGGCAGAGGGCCGTGGTGGGGTGCCCGTGGCGGCTGGTGGGGGATGTGCTGGGAGGGCGGGGATGGAAAGAAGACGCGTCAGGGCGCAAAGGCCTGAGTCCTCTGCTGGCGTGGAGCCCCTCCTCGGTCAGTGGCCAGTCCCAGCCTTGTGGCCACACGGATTGCCAGGCCTCGGCAAAGCCACACAGCGGGCTGTGGTGAAAGCAAGGACAGCCCTCTCGAGGGGGCTTCCAAGGAGAATCACTGCAGCTGTAAGAGACAGCCCACTTGCGATGGCCGGGGCCCCAGCTCTGTGAACAGGGGCTCTGAGGGGGCCACACCCATGGCAGCACGTGGCACCCACACGACAGTCCACTCTGCACAGCTGTGTGCCTCCCGCCCCAGCCGCCGGCAGGAGGGCTGCTTGGCGGTACAGCGGGGAAGGAGGGGCTGGGAGGTCACAGGCCGCGGGGCTCCCTGAGCCCTGCGCGGCCCTGCTGTCCCGTGCATTAGCTGTGTGGCCTCGGGCGAGGCTGGGAGCCTCTCTGAGCTTCCAGCATGCCTGCGGAACAGATGACGAGGAATGCCCGTGCAGCACGAGTCACGGAGAAGCCGCCTCTGCTTCCTCAAACACCAAGTGCGTCAGTGGGAACACGCGCATTCCCAAACCGCGTGACCGGGCCCAGGAGAGAGGACAAGACCTGTCACCAGGATGTTGTCCGAGGGGCGCTCAGCTCCCCCTCCTCTCGGAACCTGGGCACTGCCTTCCCTCCTGCTACCTGGCCTTGTGCCGGCCGCCCAGGGCAAGCTCTGTCCCAGCCTTGAGCCTTGACCCCAGGCCACCAGGCTGTGTGAGGCTGGGAGCACCTGACCTTGGAGGGCGGACTCCTGGGGTCACGTCCTGCCTATGCCTCAGTCCCTTGGCCTCAGTTTTCTTATCTATAAAATGGGGATCAATCCAGAGCCTTCCTCAAAGCGTGTGAGCCCGTCCAGCCTGGCCCACGGTCTGGGCTTCCAGAGAGAAACCTGCCAAGGATCTTATTTCCGGCTGTCTGGGATGGACAGCGGCCTCATGCTCCCAGCCCTGCACATATTTGTCCTTTGGTTAGGACAGACTCTTTCTGCCCCCAAAGGCGATTTGGGCACAGAGACACAGGTGGGTTGCACACAGGCTCGCTATGAGAGCCAGACATGAGTCCAGCACCGGCCACCCCCGGGGTCTCCCTAGGATGCCAGGAGCAAGTGCACATGCTAGGCCTGGCCTTCAAGGCCCCAGGACCTGGCCTGCTGACCTCTGCTGCCTCTGGGGAAGGGCAGCCCTCCAGCCCAGAGGACCCACCCTAGAGACCCTCTTGCTTCCCGGATCCTGCTGTCCTGGGACGAGGAGCACCCTGGGGTGCCCCGGCCCTAGTGATCTGCACCCTCCCGGCCCTGGGTAAGGGAAGGGAGGGGCGCGAGCATGCAGACTCTGCCCCGGCTGTTGATCCCGGTGTTGCCCCTCTGTCAGGTGGGGGAGATAACCACACTCCTCCCTCAGTTTGCCATGTGAGGCTCGCGGCGTGGATGTGACGCACGTTGGGGGCTGGTGCAGGGCGGGGCGCCCGGACTTCCCATCGTCTTGTTCCCCGGGAAATGGGAAGCAGCAACCGCAGCCTGTCGGGGCTGGAGCCCCTCCCGTCCCCCGCCTGGTCCCCCAGACACGCAGCCTCAGCGTCCCTCCACTGCCCGCCACGGGGCGTCAGGCTGAGGCCCCTGGAGGTCTGGGGTCTGAAGGGGAGTAAGGCCCTTGCCCCAGTCCCGCGGCTGTCACAGACACGCCCAGCATCACAGGGGGACACAGCTCCTCCCCTCCCAGGGAGGAGAGGGGCCCCGGGAGATGAGTGCACTGTCCAATGTCACAGAGCTGGCCCGTCACAAAGCCACGATCCAAACCCAGGGCTGGCCGGACCCGAAGGCCACACCCCTATCCCTTTCTTGTATTACATTTTTAAGATTCATGAAATATATTTTAAAAGAAAGACCAATTTGAGGACAAGTCCTGTGGCTGCCCCCCAGACTGAACAAATCTGCCCTCTCTCCTTGCTTCTGAGAGTGGGGCGGCGGGATGAGGGTGGAGGGAGAGGGGCTGAGCCCCCGGGGAGGCGGGCCCAGCAGCAACCCTAGGAGGGCCCCAAGGGGCCAGGCAGGGCTGGGGGAGGGGAGGCCGCCGCGGGCGGGGCTTTGCAGGCCAAAATAACACAAAGGGAAGTGGGCAGTTTTCGTTTGAGCAAAGTCTGCAACAAGCTGGCTGCGGAAAAGCCCTCGGGGCTGGGCTGGGCAAGCCCCAGCAGCCCAGAAAGGTTCTTGGAGACCATGCTGCCCACTCTCCAGCCTCTCCATGCTGTAGATGGGGAAACTGAAGCCCACCAGGGCCGCAGGGCAAGCTAGGGGGCAGGGGTGGAGCGTGTGGTTCCCATATGCGCTGGGCTTTCCTCTGGGGCCTGTTCTGTTTTCCCAAATAACCTTGGCCTCTAGATGAGGCTGACTGAGATGCCTGCTCTTAATGCTCAGGTGGCCCGTGTGGGGGCCTGGGCAGCCCCTGTCTCAGGGCAGAGGTGGGGGATGTGAAGGCCAGGGCCACCGGTTGACAGACTTGGGTGCAAGGAGCTCCCCGGGGCCTAAAGCCTCTCAGACCCTAGCAGAGAGTTGGCAGGCCTGGCCGCCGGGGACTGGGTGGGGGTGACAGGGACAGCTGCTTCCATCTGGCCTGCGGCAGGACCTGGGCACGCTTGCCTGTAGAGTCTCACCCATCCTCCCATAGCCCTGTGGCAGGGATGTTACAGTCCCATTTTACAGATGAAGAAACTGAGGCTCATGGGCCTGGGCCTGGGGAGCCGCTGTCCTGGCCCCGTGGCTGCCTCTCACCAGTCTCTGAAGTGATGGGACCACCCTGGTGGCTTCCCAGGGCTGTGCAGTCTGGGCTGGGAAGGTAAGGACAAGAAAGTGGCTGGAGCCCCAGAAACAGGCTGCCCCTCTAAGCGCTGCAGGGTCCGGGAGAGGCCTCACTAGCCAGGGTGCCAGGGCAGGACTGGGGCCGAGGGAGGGAGCCAGGGGCGCCAGGGCAGGAC